GGCTCGGGCCCAAGTTGTAGGCCCGTTGGTCGGGCCAGGCTCGGGCTCGGGCCTAACAAATTTCTATTCATGAAGAGTAAAAGCCCAGCCCGGCCCATGAACAGGTCTAGTCCCATAGTTTCAATAAATAAAGTCAAGAAACTAGCTTTTTTTCTGTATTAATCACTGCCTAACAACCCCTCAGCATCGTCACTCTTTTAACAGGATTTAAAACCACACTACCGATAGGACAATTCATCCAACGCACCAACTGGGCTACCCCTCATTTGGTCAAAAAACTAGCTTAGTAAACCATGCTGAGCACGCTCAATGATAGATAAAATGAAATAAAACCTTAAATGAAAGTCTTCTTATTTTTTTTAAGTGATGAATAACTTCCTGAGGTTAGACTTGTGCTTAGACTAAATCCAATAGAGGGGGCAAATTTGCTTACTCAGCGCTTGTGCACAAACCTTAAACAAGGTACACAAGAAATTTCAACCTAAGTCAAATGGAAAGAACTCCACTAAATAGACAAAGTAGATGCCTTAAGCAAATTGGAAATAATAACTAAATAACATACAAGAACATCTTCTTAAGAAATAAAAGGAAATATAAGACTACAAAAGGCATCAATCCATCCAGAGCAAATGAGTTAAAAACTGAGGTATAAATAATGGCCAAGTTAAAGCAAAATGAAGAAATTCTCTTATATAACGAAATAAAATAAAATGAAGAAATTATAAGGCATAATCTATTTATCTTAAGTTGGAAATTATGTTAGATTTTAAAGCAATATGCCTAGGGAGTTCTTTCCATTTAACTTTGTTGAAATTTCTTGTGTACCTCATCTTAAGTTGGAAAAAAAGAATGTTTTGACATTCAAAATAAATAATTAATTAATCATTAACTTAAATAAATGATAATATATTAATGTCTTTATACATGTAAATTGTAAAAGGCTATACAGCAAGTGTATCATACTCTTGATTGATGCAGCATTAATGAAACTATTGTATGATATCTACATGTCTTCATGGCCCATATGTTGATTGTAATGCATTTTTTCATATCAACTATTAAAGTATGTGTTTCCGTCTTTCTACCTTATCCATAGTTATTCCAATCTTGGATTTAATATTAAAGTGTATCTAGATCTTTGCATGGTATATATATATATATATATATATCATGAATTCATGATCCATTTCGACCTTACCAATATACTTTGACAAATTATATTTTGAACCTTGGTTCTGCACAGCTTTCGACATCACATGGTCACCTACATTGGATTCAATCCGATCATTAAGAAAAGTTGGAAATGATTTCTTTTACTAATATCCTGAAACGACTTCATTTTGATTTCTTATTAATAACCCGTAAGGCGACACTGGATCTGTTTTAAATAGTAAACTTGCTGTCCAAAATTTCAAGAGAAACCCATAATGAATCACTGCATTTCACATGGCACCTTAAGAGGCTAATAAGAACCAGAAGAATGCCAATGACCATGAAAGTGGGCAAGTTCCCACCAAACAGACCAAGGAATAACTTTGTTGATCTAGAACCATAATTTTTATCAGTTGATATGAATCATAATCAGTCATAACCATTTGGAAACCAAACATAGATAAACTTATCAGTCAAGTACAGTAATATCAGCACGGCATATAACAAATTAGACCCACAAATCTGACAAACTCCATCCTCTCAAGCACATTAACTTAATTGAAAGTTTGAAAGTGAAGTAGGAAAACAAGGGTACAAAAATAAAAACATCACGGCATAAGCTTACTTTCCATGAATGGCACTATAGATAGTAAGAGTGTTGATGTTCAGACGGATAACTCAGTTCGAGAGATCAGAATCCCATCAGTGTCTGCATACAGCCATTCACCATCAGATATTCGTGTGCCTGCAATGGTTATAGGCACATGTCTCTCTCCAATCCCTTTCTTATTTGCTTTCATTGGATGTGAAGCCAGAGCCCTTACTCCAATATCGCACCCATTTATCTCATCAACATCCCTTATACATCCATTGACCACTATACCAGCCCATCCGTTGTTCTGAGCTTGTTGTACAGGGTTGCCTCCTAGTATTGCACACCGCAAGCTTCCACCTCCATCAACAACTAAAACTCTACCATTGCCTCTCTCCTCAAGGAACCCACGAATCAGGACATTGTCTTCAAACACCTTGAGAGTTACAACTGGCCCAGAGAAAACTTGACGCCTGCCATATATCTGAAAAATTGGCTGAAGAGCCCGAAGCTCGCCACTTATAATTAGCTGTGGGTTTACATCACAAACGTCTGCAGTTGCAGCCATGGCTGTTTCCCAAGAACATAAGAAGATGTCTTTAATTCAGCCAATTAATTCTAGACTCAACAAATCTCCATGTATGAGAACTAAATAGATGAGAAATATGCCATGACGATCAGAATTTTATAACCTTTTTGTTAACCTTGTTTTAAAAGTAAAGCTAATATGAGGCTAAATACCTAACCAAACACTAACAGAGAGAGAGAGAGAGAGAGAGAAAGAGAGGTGTAAAAGTTCAAAGAGAAGTATAAAGCAAATTGGACATCATTAATGAAGCTTTATTTGAAAGTCTTGCATCAAACAGCAAACTGTAACAAAATAAAAGGTCAGCATAAACAGCTTTATGCCTAGCCAAGTAGTCAAAAAAGGTTGGCATAAGATCACCATTGTTCCACGGATGCAGGAGCAAATAAGTCAAATTTGGAATTTTCTGAATTTTTATGTATGCTTGTATTTCTGTTAGCAGTTTTTCTGGGTCTGGCCCAGTAGTCTGATTAGTCCCATTATATTTGGTTTACATTTGAAGTTTCATAGTCATCACACAAGTAAATAGGAGCTATTGAGCTTTCTTTGAGTTAATGTATGCTGGTGGAAGTCTTTTTATTTCCATTTCTCTTAGTTCTACAGGATTGACAACCCCTAGATAGTATACCCAATGTTGTTCCTTGCTCTCCAGGGTCTTGAGAAAGGCTGACTGGAAACAGACCTAACCTTTGGCATTTTTGGCACCAAGTACAACCCTTAGACTGAACCCACATTCCCATACTTGTTATCCCAAGATTTTGCTAGTTCACCATGCAATTGCCTCACAAATAAATACATATATGTTTGTCTATTATGAATGCAAAACATGGATAATTAATGRAACCAAGTTTTTCTCGACCTTGTGTGTGGATAGTAAGTGATTCCAATGACCCAAGTAATTTTAGGATCCATTAAGTGATTCCAAGTTTCTTCCCTTTTTTATCTTTTTTTTTATAACTGTAGAATTTAATTAAATAAATATTAATAACCTCGTTTTTTACCTAATACAAGTTCCCTGTTCTAGCACCAACCAACCATCAAAGACTGGTCAAAAGCTTTCAACAGTATTCATTCAACATTCATCAAGGTCTAAAATTGATCCCAAATATATTCCTTGATTAATTACCTCAATGTGCAAAATTTACTATTTCAGCAACTCTTCTTTTGTATCAAATCACATCCCCAATGCTCTCATATGAGGACTCTCTCTAGGTCTATATCATCTTTCATCCTACCAAATCTTATCCCAAAACTCAACTTAGAACCTTTGATTCCAAAACCTTTGGATATTCTTACAAATACATTTTGCATTTCTTTTTTTGCAAGGCATGTTCAAAACCCTAGACTGGCTTCTAATTCTTTAGGTGACATCCTCCTCAATCTCTCCCTTGTTATGAATTATTGAAACAAGGTGCTGGGTATGGTCACATTGAGTTATTTCTTGGTCTCCAATCCTAAGTGTATCTTGATTTACACTCCTATTGTTACTAAATTTGCATGACATATACTCTGTTTTAGTCCTACTTATTTTAAAACCTCTTGTTTCTATGGCATTTGTCCATAATGCTATGTTTGGTTGCAGTGCAATCTTATTTGCACCAGTACAAATGTATGGGAGTGCAAATGAAAAGAATGCATATTTTGGTTTAATTTTATTTTAGGTTTTACTTTATTCTCTGTCGGGTCTTATCTTACTTCATTTATACTGCAACCGAACAAAGTAAGGTAAAATATGAAACAAAAAAAATCAAAATTTACACCCAAATCATTTATTATAATTTTGCATCAATACAAATTTATTTGCACTGCAACCAAGCACAGCCTAAGCTTAATTTTGCATTTGATAGTGCAAGCACATTTTGCTTCCATGCACTCTAATGTGTCTTGTTCCTTTCAACCTTTCTCTTTGATTGAATGGGATTCTCAATGGATCTTTTGGATTCAAGCAAGGATGTTTACTTTATTATATGTGGTGCTTTTCCAGTTTTGTACAATATTTCTCTATAAATGGGAAAATAACAAATATTCTTTTTCTGACAAGGCTTCGATGATGATGATGTGAGACAATGCCAACCTTGTAGTTATTGATGGTTTGTGAAATATGAGCAAAGTATTCACCAATATTAGTGGCTTCATCAAATGTGTGTATTGTATGTTATTTGATAACAGAAACAGGAGGATGGAGAAAAGGAAAAAAGCAAGAGAGTTTCACAATTTTGACCTTCTTGAAAAAAGTGGTCTGTTGTGATATGTGTGCTTTTTTTATCTAAAGAGGAGATATATTAAATATTAACTAATATAAGTACACATTCTTGGGGTGTACACCCCATACATGTCTGCTACCACTATTGGATTAACTGTCATAGGAGGTTCCTCATGATACATACATCTCGTAGATAGATTAAGCCCTAAACTAGCAAGAACCAAGGTTTAAAATGTCGATGTCGATGGAAATGTAGGTCATCCAAATATGAGAAACATGTCGGAAATGACGGAAATATCGTATGGAAATATTGTAAAAATTATCAACATGGTGGAAACATTGTAAAATATGCAAAATATAGAACGATATCTTATGAAATGATAAAAGAAGCATTGGCACACCTTTTTAAATTATTGTCTTGTTCCAAATCATTAAACAAAGCTAAGAAACTAATGTTAAAGACAAAAGAATACGTTCTGAAGTTGCCCTGCAAACCTTAAGATTCGAAGCTTCATGATAGAATGAGTTAAAACAAAATTTTAACTCATAGAAAATGTAAACGGTTGTACTAGATCAACCAAATAATCTATTACACAAACAAAAACTAATATTAAACTTTGTGTTTGAAATGAATATTGAGCTAGCTCCAATCATTCCCATGGACACGTGGCGAAACCCTGAGTTGTTTGCCTATTTTAAATCTAAAAAACTCTAACCACATTCCCAAAAGCGGGAAAGTTTCCCTCCATCTTCCTCCTCATCTCCATTAGAGTTGGCCCTTCTTCCTCTATAAATAGGAGAGGCTCAAAGCCTTCCACACAAGATCACCCATTAGATCACTGTGAGAGCTCCAGTACTCCAACCTTCCACCTCTTTCAGTGTCTCTCTCTTCCCTTTCTAGCCTTCGCCTTTTCATCCTCACCCAACCTTCCGATCATCTACCATCCTTCAGATAGAACCCACCGGTTGCCTTACCCTTCAGCCTACACAATACTTTGGACTACTTGTAGAGAAAAGGCCATTAATGTGCTTGTCCTCTAATTGATGTATTCTTTGCAAAGCTAATGATGAGGATTGCTTCAACTTACTAATTTCCTGTTCTTTGTTGTACCTATTTGGAWTTGGATTTTTGCTTTGTTTAGGTGCAGTGGAACCTACCTATAGATGAAAGTTTGCTATTTAATCTGTCAGTCTTTGTGTAAGTATGGCCCATAAAAAAAGGGAGAACCATGTGCAAAAGTATTAGAGCAGCTGCACTTTGGACAACTTGGGAAGAAAGGAATGGAAGAATTTTCCAAGAAAGGAAAGAAGCCTCCTAAATCTCAAGGAATGGATTCTGACAAGGGCAATTCACTAATTGAGAACTATGGAATCATTCCATTTGTTTTCTTTTGATGATCTTTGGAGGAACTAGTTAGTTGTGGCAAGTAGCTCGTCTAGGAAGGGTAGAGTTACTATAGAATGGATTCCTCCTTCTGAAGGATGTGTAAAGATGAATTTTGATGTCAGCACAACATAGACCCTTTTGGTATATGAGGAGTGTTGAGAGATAAGGATAGCAAAATTTTAGCCTTATTCTCTAGCCCTGTGGGGATAGGAGACTCTAATTGGGCTGAGTTACTAGCGGCTTTACAAGTTTCCACATTGGTAACCAACTTGGTGCCGAGAATCTACTAATTGAAGGAGACTTCAAGGTCATTGTGGGCTGGTTGAAAGATCCAGATTCAGTTATTTGGTGCTACAAGGACATCCTAAAGAAAGCTGTCCGGTTAAGAAGGAATATGAATATTAACTTACATTGGATGGGCAGGTCAGCAAATGCTTTGACTAATCATCTTGCTAAACAAGGGCAAATATCTATACTAGGATGCTTTGTAATGTTGTTTCTTCTAGTGCTTTGATGTAATTTTCACCCTTCAAGAGAGGTTGCACCTCATGCCCCTCTTTGTGTTGCTTGTAACAGTCTTCATCTTTTGATAATAAAATCATCTCTCGATTATCAAAATAATAATAATAATTACCTATACAGTGTTCAGTTATGGGAATCATTTACAGACAGCATAGAGATGTCAACATTGCAATTGTACTAAGAATGAACACCATAAGGTGAAATAAAAATTATGAATATTTGTTAATTTGAATATAGAGCTATTCTACGCAATTGAATAAACAAGATTTTAAAGAGAATAAAAGAATAACCTAACAAATTGGCATATCTTGTCAGGAGAATAAGTGGCCAAGATTAGACAAGCTCAGCAATGTCATATAATGACCCTAAGGGGCTATGCATGGGCCTGGAAAATCAGAACTTCTCCAAGTTCAGGGGAGACTTGACTGRCCATAGATAATATGCCATCTGTCATAGTTGATTGGTAGGAGAGAAGAGGAGAATAGAAATGAGAGAGAAAAGTCGAGTGACAAATCTTGGTGTGGCAGCACCCATACTCTTCTTATATTAAGAGTATTTTAAAACAAAGAAGAAAAGATCACAATACTCTTGCACCTAAGTAACTCAAGATGATAACACTTCGCATCAAGTTAGGTCATATATATTATACATGCCCAAATTGTCACATAACATATGATGGCACAAGTAGGGGTGTCAATGGACCAGGTTATAATCCAATCCAACCCAACCCAATACGTATCCTAAATAAACTGTCCAAGTCTGGTCCAGTCTGAATTTAATGGACAGAGGTCCAATCCAGTTCATTTAAATTCAAATGGATTGGATTGGACCCCATCCAATCCATAAAAATTATAATATGCAATATAAAAAATAAAAATAAAAACATAAAAACTACTGAAAAAA